GGGTTTCAGACATGTTTTTTGTCAACTCTTGTTTAGCCAAAGTGGATGAAACACTTTTAGCAATTTTTGGTTTATCAGAACTAGAGCTGCTACATGTTATGTACATTGCCAGGAGATGAGGAGGAAAAAAACTCAATGCACAATTTGCCTGGGCAATTCCAGACTGTTGTATCCTTCCCCTAATCTGGTCTTCTCCCCCTTCAACTGACCTTCCCAAAGAAACATATGGCAAAGCACTTTCACACAGCAAAGAAGACAAGGGTGTTCTTGGAGAAATCCCTGAATCTTTAAGCCTACTGGTATTTCAAAATACAGCAATCACTATAATATTTTATTACATGCTAAATCAGTCCACCAAGTAAAAAAAAGAAAAATATTTCATCTGAATATTTTATTAGAATTTATCAGAATAAGATAAATAAGTAGTTTCTCATTTCCTTGAGCTTACTGAGGAGCTAATGCCCTGAGAGTAATCCTTCGCTGGTGCCACTTAATTATAAAAGTAAATTCTGCCCTGCCATATGGGTTGGCTTTTTTCTAAGAAAACAAATGAACTCCCAAGAAGGTTTCAGATTGCAATAGAACTCATTTATTTTTATCTGCCAGGTCACATACAATATTAAGAACAATGCCTGGGGCACATTTTAAAGATACAGTTTCATGGGAGCATGGATTGCATGATTAATGTGAAGGCACACACTGGCGTTGGAATGGTACCATTCACTGATTGCTGCTGATGGTGTAAGGAAACTGAAACAAGACTACAAGACTGCAGCTTAATCAACTTAGTATCTATAGGAGAACTGGATGTTTTGCAGAACAAAAAAAAAAAAATTATCAACCAGTTATAACCTTCTCACAAGGGGTGGAAGACAACCTGCGGAAGCTGAGGGTGGGGAGAGGCAGACAGATAGAATTGCAAACCATCTATTTCTGCACAGCAACAGAATGCCCACAGACATCAGAAGACCACCTTTATTGCCTAAATTGGACAAGCAGGACTAACCTCAGAAATATAGGATGAACTTCTCAGTTATTGCCTGCTATGGTGAATACTATAGAATAAAGTCCCTTGCATATTTTTGAAGACGTCTATTTCAAAATTATTTCTGTTCCAACTTTGTTTGCCTCAGCAAAATGTGACAAAACTCATTGCTTCTTCACTAAATTACTCAAGGCCAACTTAAGCTATCTGGTTTTCTGTCAACACTGCTGTTCCATTTATACTGCTATGTCCTTTTCCAGATGCACCTGCTGATAGATTTATGGGCAGGTGCTGTGCACACACTCAGGCCTTGTTATCCTGCACTACATTTCCAACCCTCTTCTCATCTGCCTTTCCTTACATTCCTAACTAATTTCATTAAACCTTGTTCAAGCATATATAAACAGAATAGTCTACACCAGCACAACTTAAAGTCTGCAAAGAACCTTGTGCAAAGAGATCAAAAGTTCTCTGTCATTCTGGGAGACACCTTTGGGGTATCATAGGATCATATCTGTCTTTCCACATAGCTGCATGACATTGGCAATTCCCAACAGGAATGCAGCCTGGATCCCAGTTGGGATCTTTGCTACCATTCTCATTAAGACAAATCATAAATATCTTCAGAGGCTGTAGAACTTCATAAATGAAAAAGAGTCACCTGCCATGAATATCAATAATGGAAAAGGGATTTAAAAATTTCCAATAGTATCAAGCTTTCCCAATAGTATTTTTTTTTTATTTCTAAGGCAGAGGAAGTTGGCATCATTAATTCCATTAAGGTGGAAAAAGTCAATTATGAACAGAAGATGAGACAAAACACAGCTTCTGGCTGTGAAAAATCATTCCCCTAGCTTAGAATACCACCAAATTACTAAAGCAGAATCCTGAAGGTGCAAGGATGGAGTGGGCTGACCTTCGTTGAAGACCAGGTTCTCATCAAAACTGCTCTATCACTCCTCTCCTCAAATGGGCAGGAAAAGAAAATAAAACAAAAGGTGTATGAGTTAAGGACAGGGAGACATCACTCAGTGATTACTTTCATGGGCAAATAGAAACAACTTAAAAAAATTAACTAAATTTATTACCAACCAAGATCAGAGTAGATCTGATTACAGGCTGGGACGGTGTGGCTGGACAGTGCCCAGGCAGAAAGGGACCTGGGGGTGCTGGTCAACAGCCGGCTGAACATGAGCCAGCAGTGTGCCCTGGTGGCCAAGAAGGCCAAGGAAATCCTGGCCTGTATCAGGAACAGTGTGGCCAGCAGGAGCAGGGAGGTCATTCTTCCGCTGTACTCAGCACTGGTGAGACTGCACCTTGAGTTCTGCATCCAGCTCTGGCCCCTCAGTTTGGGAAGGACATTGAGACGCTTGAGCACATCCAGAGGAGGTAACGAGGCTGGTGAGGGGCTTGGAACACAAGCCCTGTGAGGAACGACTGAGGGAGCTGGGGGTGTTTAGCCTGGAGAAAAGGAGACTCAGAGGTGACCTTATCACTCTGTACAACTTCCTCATCAACCTTCTACAAAGGTTTCTGTAGTCAGGTGGAGGCTGGGCTCCTCCCGGCAGCAGCTGACAGAATGAGAGGACACAGTCTCAAGCTGCGCCAAGGGAAATATAGGTTGGATATTAGGATAAAGTGTTTTACAGAAAGGGTGATAAAGTACTGGAATTGTCTGCCTGGGGAGGTTATGGAGTCACCATCCCTGGATGTGTTTATTAAAGACATCACTCTGTACAACTTCCTCATCAACCTTCTACAAAGGTGTCTGTAGTCAGGCGGAGGTTGGTCTCCTCCCGGCAGTAGCTGACAGAATGAGAGGACACAGTCTCAAGCTGCGCCAAGGGAAATATAGGTTGGATATTAGGATAAAGTGTTTTACAGAAAGGGTGATAAAGTACTGGAATTGTCTGCCTGGGGAGGTTATGGAGTCACCATCCCTGGATGTGTTTATTAAAGACAGTGGCACTCAGTGCCATGGTTCAGTTGAGGTGTGAGGGCTGGGTTGGACTCTATGATCTTGAAGGTCTCCTCCAACATTGTGATTCTGTGAATTCTGTGATCACAGTGAATGGATTCAGTCTAGCTGCAGTGGAGACTACTTGCAGAAGGTGCATAATCAGTAAGATTATCAGTGTGATCGACACTTGCAGTTTTGGGACTACAGCACCCTGACAAGTGGCTGCTAGTCTCTGAATCCAGGACCCGAAGATGTACAATGACTCGTGGGACACAATACCTAAAGAACAGAAAGGTGTGTAGCAAAAAAGATGTACTGATATCAATAATACATACAATTGAAGAAAACTCCTAGCAAGTTAAGGTATTCTAAAGGAAGATTTCCATGGTCAAACACAACAACACCGGAAAGGTTAAAATTTAGAATGGAAATGCAGAATAAAGAAAGAGAAAATTAATGCCTTCTATGAACAAGTAACAGCCAACTATACTGAACTGCGTGAAACAAAATGGCTGTTATAATTTCAATATACTTGAATATCTTTTTTAAAAAAAAATTAGAACAAGAGATATAAAGCTCTGAAGCATCACTAACTTTCAGGAAAAATACATCTTTTGATGTATGGGATCTTTAGCAAAAAGCAGAATTAACACTGATGTTTTGGTTTTTTTTTGTTTGGTTGGTTTTTTTAGGTGGTTTTTTTTGTTTTTTTTTTGTTTTGTGGTTTTTTTTTTTTTTTGGTTTTTTTTTTGTTTTTTTTTTTTTTTTTTTTTTTTTGTGTAGTTACTGCTTATTCAACAAAATCACTCCAAGCTTATCCCACAGTGATTTAAAAAGCTTCATCAAAAGCACTGGTTTAAATGAGCTTATTTTTTTGCTCAGATTTGGACTCCAGATAAACAGTATAGAGAATAAAGTAAGTGAGGAAGGAGGGAAAAGTTGTTTTCTGTTTTGTTTTGGTTTTTTTTAACAGTTATTGGAATACCTGTACAGAGTGCACTAATTCAACACACAAACACACATTTCCATGGGGCTGGGGCTGGGAAGAGGCTCAGACAACTTATGATGACAGTCTTTACAGAGTAGCAACAGTTGATAACCTCACACCTTGTTTCATTGGCAGCTTACAGAATTGAAAAATCAACATCAGGGCACAGATCTATGTGGGCCAAAGATATATAAATATATATCCACACACACACCTATTTCCACATTCAAAAAGTTTTCCCCTGTAGATAAGCAACTTCCACTGGTCCCTGGAAAAAAGTTTTCTTGCAGTGCCTTTTATGACTCTGCATTTTGAACCTCATTTTCATCTAAGAAGCAAACTGGGAAACACAAATATATTCCAATGCTAAACCTAACAGATAAGTGAAGTGACTAAAATTTTGTTAATTCAAAAATAAAATATATTCAGAAGGTGGGTGTGAATAATAAGTTGAGATGGTTACATTTTTTTGGCCAACCAAGATGTTTTACTACACCTCATATGCAAAGAGGAAAAAAAAAATAGTGTTCAAGGACTGTTACTGCTTCAATGTTGACATCTAAGACAGTGCCACTGTTGATCACAGCTTGCAGAGTGCTCTCCTACTGTGCAAACAGCGACTATCACCAACTTTACCGCTAATTCTGCAGTCTTTAACAGATCGCTCCTGGCATCCTAGTGAATAATTATTAGAAACATCCCAACACAAAGCCACATTGTGTAGCCAAATTTGGGATCATCCTAAGCTTCATGCAATGGCAACTTTTGTCACATTGCCATACAGCACCTGCTTGTTCTAGCGTATGCACACTCCAGGCTAGTCCTCTTAAAAATTAGAATAGTGTAAGCTATCATAAACCTTGATGCCAGGCAGGTAGTTCATCTTATTAACTCTGGTCAGGGATTAGAGAAATAAACATACATAACACTCAGTTTAGTGGGTCTAGAAGGCAGAGGGTCACACAAGAGCACACCGATATTGGAATTTGGCTAAATATTGCTTATCAACAAAAAAAAAAAAAAAATCCAGCCTGGTGCAACACAAAAAAAGAAAATAGATTTCTCACCTTGCTCCAGCAATAAGCTCTTTTTGTCCTGGGTCAAATGTTAACTGTGAGAAGTCCACAGCATCTTCTGCTTTGAACACGTGTAGCCAAGGGGCAATTTCTAAAAACAATCAAGAAATACAACTTTTACCATAAATGTTATAGGTGTAGTACATTAGGTAGCCACCATTAAATCTGAAAATATTTCCTGTGGGTCTGCAAGTTTTCTCCTTATGATCCTCTAAGGAAACATAGAGGAAACACCGCCATACCATTTAATTTATAATACAGGCCTGTAAAATACATAGGGCAGCCATCTGATACACACTTGAATCAAGTATCCATATTTTGTTCTCAATCGTTTTTCCTCCTTCCTAAAGCAGAAAACACCACAGTACAACTGCAATTCACTGGGACATACTCAAGTAAAGTTAATTTAAATTTCCATGCATCAAAAACAGTTGAGGACTAGAGGTTTTGTGTTCTGGGTTTTTTTTGGGTTTTTTTTGTTTTTTGGATTTTTTTTTTAGTTAGCTATTTAGTTATTTATTTTCTTTACAAAAGAATCTGATTAAGTGAAAAGCAATGAGGAAAACAAGCAAGTTTGACTTTTCATCACTTTTCACAATAAAAAGGTTGAGAAATGAGGGATAAAAAAGGAAAAATGTTTGAAATTCATTGAACTTTTTTTTTTTCACTTTCCTTTCTCAGACCAATTTAGTGCTACATTAAGCAGGGTAGACAAGCATGTGAATTACTGAAAATCAGCAAGGGGTATTACTTGTATTCAGAATACAAACTTGTTCCTACTTTCAAACTTAAGCATACATAAATAGTTGCAAATCAACTCCTTAAATATTTTCATTACTAGCAGTTCAGTTTTTAATTCATATCACTAACTGGAGACTAAACAGTTTGGCTAAATAAACACAATATAAATAGATATACAGAATATATAAAATTGCCATAAGAATAGAAATGATAGAAATGGCTCACTAAAAAAAAGTCCAGTTGAACAAAAACCTCATTATCTAGAATTGTGCAATTGTCAGGACATTGATTGAGGCTTTTTTTGTTTTTTTTGTTTTTTTTTTAATGTAGTCACAAAACAGTGGGCTGGAACTTACATGAAAGGTGAAGAGGGCTGAGTATATATGGCACAATGAGCTGAGGGCCTATTTTAAGATTACAGGTGCGAAACAGCCACTTGAAAGGCAAGCACATGGTCATGACCATTTAGAACACTGAGTCAAAACCAACCCAACCCTCTCAAGGTGCTGCAGAAGGACAATTTTTGACAATGGTATCATTAGTTGCAGCTCAGGTTAAAAACACTCATCCTAAGCTCTCTTCTTCACTCATGAGCATATTTTTGCTTTTGCAAATGTGTCAGTTGAAATAATCCATGTCTGGTGCCTGTTTCAGGATGATTTGTTCCTAATTTAAAGTTTTAGCACAAGTGGGCTATCCATTCCTAAGGAACGGGCCCAGGAGAAAAATGTTATTCTGTGTCAAAACATGTTCAGCCATTGCAGACAGTCATTAAATGCAGTGTGCAGAAGCTGTATCATCATATACTTTGGAAAAACAGATGGAACTGTAAAGAAGAATCACTTGGGTGTCAGAAAAGTAACTCCTGCATTTTTAATGTCAGCCCGTATGCATCTGGGCAATTTCAGGCTAGCAATGCCAGTTTGTACACATTCTGCAGTACTTGTAGCTAAATTCACTGTTGATTTCCATCTGCATTGGATGGGTGCTCAAACCAGGATTCAGACACTGGGGTGGAAAGGGGATATGGCCACATATTAGATAACTGTGATTACAGCTGCCACCAACCATTACTTCAGATGCTGTGCAGAGAACCAGCAGGATTCTGAGGGAGGAAAAACACTATATGCATTATAGGCCTGTATATATACAGGCACCTTATCCATACTTATTCACCTATTGTTATTTAAATATATATATATATATATATATGGCTAAACAGGCAAGTATAAAAGAGGTGTTTCCTAAATTTTTTTGTACTTGATTTTGCAGCCTTAACTTTTCAATCATGCATTTCATAAGAAACAATCAATTGCAAAGTTCTAAAGTGTTAAGAAATTAGGTAGGACATGAAGATGAGGAAATCCAGAGGTCAATCAGTCAATCACAAAGAATCTCACTTACTGGCAAAAGAAGGGGAAAAAAGAAAAAAAAAAAAAAAAAAAAAAAAAAAAAAAAAAAAAAAAAAAAAAAAAAAAAAAACAAACAAAAAAACCCACAAAAACAAAAAAAAAACCACCAAAAAAAATGGAATTACCCCAGCTCTGTATTGGTAGGACAAGTGAGACCCTTGGTCTTCTGGAAGAGGAGAGGAGTGGCTCCCCACAGCATGAGGCCAGGGACAGCTCAGTACACAGAAGTACCGCAGAGCCAGAAGGCTACAGGGAAGACTGAGATTCAAAGACTCAATTCTCTTCCACTTGTCCTGCTGTCTCAGCAAGACACGCTAAAACTTCAAGGTACAGCAAGCAGCTGATTGAGACCACTTCCAGGTTTGGAGCAAGGGAGTAGGGGCCAGGCAGGGCAAGGCAAGCCCAGGCTAGAGAACAAGAATGAGGACTTGCTAAGATATCTCTCTGAAATCTGAATCCCCTTCAAAATATAAATTATTTTATCCTGACTTTGTTGCATTCAGCAGCACTCTTGCTTGAGGGAATAAGGTCAGGAAGAGCAAATGGCTGCTAGAGCTCTTCTTTTTCAGAAAACACTCTGAAACTGTATCTCTTCTGTGTCACAGTGGCAGCATGTGTCACACAGAAATAAGTATTTATGAGATAAAGCTACAACTTCATGACACTTTTGTAAGGGAAAATGAACAAAAACACAATGCCTGTAAAAAAAATTTTTAAAAAGGCAATCTAACCCCATGTACACTGCAAACGTAAAAGCTTATGCAACTAATTAACAGAATAATTACGTTTCTTTTCACCAAAACAGTGAAATCTAGCTGAAAACCCACAGGTGAAACAAGACTTTTTAGTTTTTTTATGAATTATCTCCTTAGAGTCAAAAATTCATAATTAGCTACTAAAGCCCTATAAATTATTTTTCTTCCAATTAGAACTACAATGGTAAAGCAGTTAGAAGTAATAACTTAAAGCTATTAATGGTTTTCATGCAGATACAACATGACAAGCTTTACACAATAACATAGCTGTACTACAGATTTTGTGTACTACAACAGTAGCATAAATAAATGTGTAAGGCAATTAAGCTGCCCTGCCAACACGTAACCTAACAGTATTGCTTGCTGGTCACAGGTGACAAACAGCAACGTCCCTACGCTTTCCAATACTAACCTTCCCCTTCCTGACATTCCCCTCCCTTTCCTCTGCCCCACCTTCATGTGAATTACAGTAAAACACCAAGCCCTTTATTGACTTCTCTCTTCTTACTTCTGACAGTGAAAACACTTATTGAAACACACGTTCAGCCTGGATTTGTTTTTCCTTTAAAATTAAGCAGGCACATTTGCCATTCTGCAGACATTGGTCTAGGACTCAAAGCTGTCCAGGGAAAACTATCATGGTATACAAGCAGTCATGACAGCAGGTGATGGCCAACACACATTGTGTCCTTTTGGTACATTCAAGACATACTTACCCTCAGCAACAACAATTAAAAAAAAAAAAAAAAAAAAAAACAAAAAACAAACAAAAAAAAAAAACTTCATTGCTGTCATAGGACTGAAATCTGCCTTATAACTCAAAAATATTCCCAAGAAAAATACTTTCTCATGGAACTAAAAGATGGATGTTGGAAAAAAAAATCTTTATTAGAAAGCTACAGCTCTCTTTCACATGCTGGGAATCGGATGTTATGGGTTTTCCTGAGGGGTTCAGGTTATGGGAGGGAGGGTTAATAGCTTAGATTAATATAAAACAAAGTTTGTTGTGGTCCATAAATCTACAGCAAAAGAAACACACCAGATTCCACCCAGCTCAGAGGAAAGGTCAAGGAATTCTCTTAAAGAGGCTTCAAGACAAAGGAGGTTAACAATCAAAGCTGGGCAGAAGGACATTAGACCCAAAAAAAAAAAAAAAAAAAAAAAAAGAAAGACCAGAAACCTGTCTCTGTTTTACTTTAAATTTAGTATCTGCCCAACAGGCCATGACTTGTTTAGTTTACATTGTTCCAAGGACTCCCCAAGAGTTGAGCTCTACAGTTCTTTGCAAATGAAATTGTAAAGTTCCCTCTAACCTAAGTTTCACTCTTCAGTACTTCAAAGTAGAGCTACAGTAAACAGTAAAATAAATTGAGAAATTACTTACAAGGAATAGAATAGTATGTTTAGAACCAAATTCAGAAGTGATCTTTAATAATATACAACCTGGCAAATAACAAAGTCAAAAGACAATAAGGACCTCCTGATTTCATTTAAAAATTAACATAGATATTAAAAGTTCCAGTAGTGTTTATGGTGTATGTATGTGGCACCTCATGCCATGGTGTCCTTTTTGAAAACAGTGAGCACAAAGTTAAACATAGGCACAGCAGCACCTTTGTGAAGAAACTCTGGTAGTAAAATAACAACAATAAAAATAATATTAATAATACCACAACAACAATACCACCACAATAACAGGAACAACAATAACACCATAGTTGAAAACTAGCAGATTTGCAATATTAACAGAAGTCTCTGGGTGGCATCAGTACAACAAACTCACTAATCTTATCAGAAGAAAATTAAAACATATTTCTGCAGGCTAAAGCTATTTCACAACTAAATGTATCTAATCTAAGGATGACACAATAACTCCATCTTCCTGAAGCTGTGCAATAATTTTAGCCTTAGATCTCTTCCTGTGATACTCAAGTTACACCACTATCCTCTTCAAAGGCAGCGAGACACATCAGAAGTCTCCCCAGGGACGTGCCACGCTGACTCCATTGCATCACCCCTGGTGCCCTGGTGACAGTCCCATTAACCCCAGGGGAATCTATTAAGCAAGGTGTCAGGGCTGGCAAGAGGAAATCCACCTGTTCATTCATTCAGCATGTCCTGTCCGGGGTTTCTTTTCAACATTGGTGCTTGAAGGACACAGCTAGGAGCACTTGTAAATGCTC